TTATCCCCCAAACTAAAGGTTGAGAGATTAGCTTATTATATATATATATATTAAAGTACTTATATTATTATCTTTATATAATTACTCGCTTATTTTAATACTTTTACTTAAGTTTATAAGAGAATATTTTTATTAATCTTTTTTTTAATTATTTATATTAAGTTTATTTTAATTAATTAAAGCTTTTACCTTTATAGCGTAGTAGTTAAGCGCTATAAAGCCCTACCTTAGCCTAGTAGAGAGCCGGTTTAAACCCGGCTAAAGGTACCCCTAATTTTTCGGCTTAATTATCTAAAAAAAAGAGGTCAACCTATATTTAAGCACGTGATCTTTAAGGGTAAAATTAAGCTAAGCTTACCTTAAAAATTAGCTAATAGGCTTTAAGCTTTGATCTTATAAATTAAATTAAACTTTTATCTTTATAACTTTTATAATAATTAAGTAATTTACCTTTAAAAAAACTTGAAGCTATTAATAATAAATTAACACGTAACGATTTTATCTTAACTAGTAACTTAAAAAGCCCTTATAAATACCCTAACGCTACTCTTATATAAATATTATAGATTATAACCTAAGCTTAAGAGACTTAATCTTAAGAATTATTAGTCTAAAGACTAATTTAAATATTATTATATGTGTAGTAAACGATATAACGGCTGGAAATATTACGTTATAAGACTTATTATTAACTAAGCTCCTTTATAAAAAATTTTTTGTTCTTAGTACTATAAATTCCGCTTACAGCTATATTTTAAATACCAAAAAACTTCCTTTAGTCCCAATCTTTTTTCCAGCTAAGTTTAGTGAAGATAACCGACGTTAAAATACTACGTTACCCCATGCACTTTAGAGCGCTGGTGCAAGGGGTAGCATCAGCGGAAGGCTGTGAGTCCGTGGGCCAAGCAGTTAGCCATACCCATTGCAGTATTGAAGCTTTGGGGCCTCTAGACCCTGTGCTTCACCTTCACATCATCTGGGGGAGGCTCATAAACAGGTGGCTACGATCAAATGGCGCATCTAGCATCTAGTCCTCGAGCCTTTTCACACGAGACACAGCCACGTAACTTAAGTTAGTCTGAAAGTCCCGGCAGGAAAGATCCGTAACGATTACATCTTTAGTGATGCTCTGCGATATGTGAACTGTAATGGCGTAGCATACGATCAGGGAAAACCGGTGCTAGCGTAGCGAGCGCGTCCGCCAAGGGAAGTCCCGCTCTTCTGGGAGAATCGGAAGGACCTTCCTCCCATTAGCAGGGGTCAGGGACTCCCGGCCGCTGCACCTTCTCAAATTCCGTCGTAAACCGCGAGCGCCGTAAGGTTAGACATCAGAATGAGACGAAGGCCAAGTCATGTAGAGAACTGCTTCGCGATGTTGGCGGCCCTGTCGTTAGCAGCAGCTGCTGCTCATTGATGATTCCATCTGATAATGTCGAGGTTGGTCCAAAATCTTCGAGTATAGTCGTATCTCGGTCAATCAAGGCGCAAGCGTCAAGATCGCCATACCACAATAGGCCTCGAAGACGTCGTGGCGGCGTCGATAATGGAGTTTCCGTGGGTAGAGTTTCTGGACTGCCCTCCACGGCAAGCAAGCCTTGGTTACCTTATGCGGAAGGCTGAGGGCTTCTATAAACAAAATCATTGCCGTCGTTGGTGCCTCCCAGGCTGAAAAGAATTGGCGGCGATGTTCCTCGAAGTTTGCATTACGCTTCTGGATTTGTAGCTAGGGGTCATTGGTCAACGTGCAGGTTGGCAGGGCTTGCAGCAGGAGCTAAATAAAGACCACGTTGGGCTGTCAACCAATTATTGAACGTTTTGCGAAGTCGATACGAATTTGAACCAATGCAGCCTCGAGAAACTTTTTGAGCCCCATAAATTTAGGTCCCATTCTAAAACGACAGACGTCCAATTGTTGAACGATTTTAGGACCATTGAACCAATCAGAGCTGGAGAAACTTTTTGATCATTCTGCACCAAAAGACTTAATGTAGAGACAGCCGAATGTAGAGACAGCCTTCGGCTGAATTAGATCGTCTCAAGGACCGGAAGTATACCCATAAAAGCGCTGGGCGGATCTTGAAGAGAAGGACTGGCTAGAACTCGAAGATTCATATCTGGAGTTGTTTGTGAATGCGCATGGCAAGAAAGTCTGGATGGATGGCGCGATGGCCTCAATGAACGGGGAGTTTGAGTGGGAGGGTGTATTACAAGGGTGGGGGCTCACTATTGCCCAAAAAGGAAAAGGGAAATTTGTATGTGCGTACTCGTACGTACTACCCGATAGTACGTACGGTACTATAGCCAAAATACAGGACGTACGTACGTACGTGTACTACTAAGTCGCATTACTATCCGGGTTAACCCAGTACCACCGTGGCCTGGTAACTTAACCCGGTCCATGACCAAGTCGAGGCCAGCTTGCTGCCCAATGACGTGGTTCATGAGATGAGCATCTAGC